ATCAGACAGATGGGAACAGGTAAGGAAACCTTACCTTGTGACACATCTACAGGTAGGGATCACCCAATCGTGCCAAAACGTTATCGGTGCAACGTCTTCAATACGTTGCACAAACTTTCTCATCCAGGTGTTTATGCAACCATCAAGCTCATAGCAGAACGGTTTTGCTGACCTGTCATGAATAAAGACGTGAGGGAGTGGGCACGCTCCTGTGTAAGCTGCCAAAAATCCAAGGTTATCAGACACAATAAATGTCCCTTAGGCTCATTTAAAACTCCCGACGCTCGTTTCGAACATGTTCATCTGGATTTGCTAGGGCGTTTGCCGGATTCAAATGGATACTCCTATCTCTTAACGTGCGCAGACCGTTTCACTCGATGGCCAGAAGCAGTACCCGCCAAGGACATCACTGCTGAAACAGTGTCCCGTGCCTTCGTCGAACGATGAGTAGCAAGCTTCGGCTGCCCTTCAACTATCACTACAGACCGCGGACGTCAGTTTGAATCCGAACTTTTCCGTTGTCTGACTGCACGATTAGGAATCACTCGCTTCCGAACGACCGCCTACCACCCGCAAGCAAACGAGTTGGTAGAACGCTTTACCGACAACTAAAAGCTTCACTATCAGCAGCAAACATTTCTCAGTGGACCGACGCTCTTCCACTCGTCTTACTAGGTATTTGCAATGCAGTGAAAGCTGACATTGGATACACTGCGGCTCAACTGGTTTATGGAACAACACTTCGACTTCCAGGAGAATTCGTGGATCCTTCATCCTCTTCAATGAACACGGATCTAACCCCCTACACGAACAGAGTTACAAACGCAATGCGTTCAGTTAAACCTGTTTCCACTCGACCGCAATCAACTGATGTTTTCGTTCAGCCTAACTTACGATATAGTACACACGTCTTCGTACGTCGAGACCCGCATCGACGACCTTTCAAATCAGCATACGAAGGACCTTTCAAAGTTCTTCAACACGAAGCGAAGTACTATTTAATCGATAAGAACGGAACCAAAGATAGCATCAGCATCGATTGCCTCAAAGCAGCGTATTTAGGAGGAAATCCTATCCATGTCGATTTTCCTTCAGTACAATCGAACGGCATGACTACGACATTTATAATACCTCATCCGATGGCCAACACGCACGATGATGCTTTGACAGTATCTGAAAATAAAATTAAAACAACGCGTTCTAGTAGAAGAGTTAGATTTCCAGAACATTTAAACGACTATTGCACTTAAGTTACTAGTTGATATTTTATATCATCTCGATTTCTCTTTGTACTATATGTAGTATAAAAAAAACCTATTTTAATATGCTTATATATTTATAGTTTTATTTCAAAAAAAGCACAAAACAAGAAAACCATATTATGAAAATCCTTTTTCGCGCTATTAAGTATGCTTGAGTTTTTTTCCTTTTTTCGCCCAATTTATGTCTTAAAGCGCGTACGAGTTTATTTCGACATGCACTTACATACTCTTTTTTTCTTTTCCAGGACGGCTGGAAAAGACGATAAAAAGAACGATGACGTTCACGAGGAACCAAAATTTTCATTGTACATTATTTTCTTACTACATTGTATTTCATGGTCCCTTATAGTAAGGAAAGATGACCAGAGGCTGCTAAACCTAGCAAGCTATCAGAAGAGTGTTTACCAACGACAAACTCATTGAGTTTAAGCTTCTGGCTGGCCACGTCTTAGGGTCATCACCACCCCACTACGGGTGCAGTGATCTGTAGCGGTTAATAAATCCCAAAAATAAATAGATCTGTAAGTTTTCGACATTGGATGCTGACCATATTAGTTTTAATGAACTCACCTAGCTGAAGGAGCTCGGTCATGCATCCGCACCAGATCACGATTGGGAACACCGTGCTCAACATCTACTGCAATCGCTGGCTAGATTAGATCAAACGATCCTCGATATATTGATAACCTATCAAATATATCTGCGAACCTCCTCGATTCTATCTTTTGATTTCTCTTAGTGGGTACGATTCATATTAGAAGGTGTTACTGGTTAAAGCGTTGTCAAACACTGAATACCTGTGCCTTCTTCAGGGTAAGCTTCAACTTCTTTCAGTTTATAGAACGTCCCGTTTGGTTCCCCGCGGGTTCAGCATTGGGACATTCCCTTTTCTTGATTTATATAAACGATCTTCCACAGCAGGTATCGCCAAATTTATTACTTTTCACTGATGATGTGAAACTTTGGAGAGAAGTATGCAACCAATTGGATAAACTGGCACTTCAGAAGGATTTGACTCGACCCCAAAGTTGGGGAGATAACAACGGACCTGCATTTAACATTTTGAAGTGTGAAGCAGTCCATCTGAGACACGTTGCAAACTACGAATACAACTTAGGTAACCCCCTTCAAGAGGTATCCGAAGTTGAAAAGATCTGCGATCGTTGACACCTTATAATCTGAATTCTTACACCAACTGCTAGAAAATGTGTTCCGAGAAAACCTTACATTAGTAACGTTGAAGCGCATTTTCGGACAGTTCAACGAAAGGACTTTTCACATAATCTTCAAAGGTTTTATTAGTCCCCTTGTTAGAGTACGGAAACAGAGTACCCACTCAATCCAAAAAGATAAGGACACTCTGATATGCATCCAATGGTGAGTCACGAAATCAGTTCAAGGAGTCAAATTCAAGTCTTATGAAGAGCACATCCAATTACTGAACATTTACCCATTAGAATACAGACATTTTAAATGTGACTTTTTAATGACCCGCAGTATCCTTAACACTTCTGGACATCTCCTTAAATACCTGCTTCAGATTAGTCCCAACACAAAACTTCAGGGTAACACCCAGAAACTGGAGACACAACATAGCAGAACGGACTGTAGATACACCTTCTTCACCCTAAGAGTAGTCAAATGTTGAAATTCGCTGCCAGCTGAGCTGGTTTAAATGACTTCTCATGAGTTCTTTGAGAGAGAACTTGACATATTCCTAAAGATTAAGGATGGTACCTCACTATGATGTGCCAACCTTTTTTTCTTTTTCCTCTTTTATCGATAATATACCTAGGTTCCTCCCTTTAGGTATCGGTGATCCACTGCTACAAGATACGGAAGTCCTTTAAGTGGTAGCTTCTTCTATTCCACTCAGAACCATTCGTTGACAATCCTGACCTTCCTCTCAGTCTGCAGGACAAAGATGACAGGATGCTCTGGGGTGAATTGAACAAGAAGCTCGAACTTCCTAGAATAGAGCCTTTGACGGTCACCCGGCTCACTCGAGGAAAGGATTCTAAGCATCTAAATCACCCGAGGCTTCTCCGAGTAACACTTAAGAATGTTACCGACGTAGAGGACGTCTTGCTAGCAAATCACTTGCTGAAATCCATGGTAACGTAAGAATATTGCCCGACATACCGTACTCCGGGCACAATATCATACGGAACATCCCTAAAGAATCTCGCGAGAGGTTTTTCCGCGGAAGAAACATAATTGTGCAGGGTATACCGGAAAACGCAGACCCTAATCAATCAAATTCTGACATCAGGGAATGGAAATTAATCAAACAGTCCTTGAGGCTTAAACACATACTGACTCAGCATGTGACGAGACTAGCCAAGAAGGACGGTGATCTTAGACCCCGTCTAATGAAGATAACCTTTCCATCTTCCCACATGGCGGCTGCAGTTCTGGGAGCATTTCGTGCCAACAGACGTCGATTGCCACCTGGAATCCACATGCACCCGGATAGGCCATACGAAGCTAGGACCAAACACAAAGGCACGTTGGAGCTGACCACTCCACTTGTGGACTGTCTAAATGAAAAAAAAACGTGTAAAGGACAGGGCATACCACCTCGGCAAACATCATATAGGTGGGCTACCTGTCCATTCACATAAGGCTCATACAGAAAAACAGGACGAAGCTCACGCGTTCCAAATTGAAAGCTCCCCCAGGGCTCATTACCAGGGCCTCTTCTTTTCTTGATCTACATAAACGATCTTCCTCAACAGGTAACGTCAGACTTATTACTTTTTGCCGACGACGTGAAACCTTGGAGAGAGATACGCAACCAAGGAGGATCTGACTCGACTTCAAAGTTGGGCAGACGATAACGGACTTACCTTTAACACTTCAAAGTGTAGAGTAGTCCATCTGCGACACGTCGCAAACTACAGTTACAACTTGGGAAACTCCTCTCTAGTAGTATCCCAAGTCGAAAAAGATTTAGGAGTCCTGGTGCCCCATGATTTAAGGTCTTACGCTAACTGTGACAAAAATGCCTTCCGAGCAAACCTTGCACTGGTAACGTTGAAGCGCACTTTTGGCCAGTTTGACGGACGAACTTTCCATACAATCTTCAATAGTTCATCCGTCCCCATTTAAAGTACGGAAACATAGTACTCCCCCCTCACGCCAAAAGGACAAGGTCACTTTGGAGCGTATTCAGCGGCGAGCCACGAAATCAGTCCGAGGACTCAAATCTAAACCTTACGAAGAACGCCTCCATTCACTAGACCTTTACCCACTAGAATATAGGCGTCTTAGAGGTGATTTATTAATGGCTTATAGTATTCTTAACACTTCTGGACATCCTCTTAAACACCTACTTCAGCTTAGTTCGAATAATAACCTAAGGGGTAACACCCAGAAACTGGAGACACAACATAGCAAGACGGAATGTAGACACAACTTCTACTCCTTAAGAGTTGTCAAAAGCTGGAATTCGCTGCCGGCCGAGCTAGTCCAAGCGACTTCTCAGGAGTCCTTCAGGAGGCAACTTGACCTATTCTTAAGAACCAAGGACAGCATCACACTATGATTTACCAATTTCTTTTCCTCTTTTATTGTTAACATACCTAGGTCCCTGCCTGGAGGATTTTGTGATCCCCTGCTACTAGACACGGAAGCCTGTTAAGCGAAAGCTTCTTCTATTCCGTCCACAACCATTTGAACCATTTGAACCATTTGAACCATTTGAACAACCATTTGAACCATTTGAAATCAAGGTCTGCGCACTTTTCGATGGTCACGTTACCAATGCACATTTATCACCAGATGTAGGTATCGAGACCTAGCCAAAAGTTTAGTGAATCCCGGGATGACTGGTAATCTGCCATGCGGGTGGTTTGTTTCAGTAACTCTTTTAGGTTCTTCACGTTTACGAAAACCAATATCACCATCTTGATGCAAACCAGTAATGCTTGTTGGCAATGATTTATAATTTCGAACTTTTCCTACTGTAAGTTAAGACTTAGCACACCAACTCTCAATGTGTTACTAAGTTGCACCATCGCTTTGCATTCTCTTATTTTAGTGTGCATGACATGTACATAATTTATTCTAGTAGGAGCCAAGTCTTATCGGGGTCATTAATTTCTCTGGTTACATATATATAGTTGATTCAGTGTAAGTATGCGAGTTTCATCTTAGAATCACACTCAGTAGTTTAAGTGAAGTGTCTTTCATGAAAATACACGTTTGTTCTAAATTGTTTTTTTCTTCCTCATTGATTTTAGTTACTATTCTCTCTCTGCGATATAAACTTAGTGTCCGATTTCATTGCCCTGCATAGAGTCATTCCGTTTGTAACTGCTTCATGGTTTGGTTTCACCTATTGTTATTTCGAAGTTTCAATTACGTTAATCGGAAATTGCTCTCTACGCGTGTTAAATTGAGTCCATTAGCCGATGCTTTTAATTACCATAGTTTAAAAACAAAGGATGAACATTTAAGCAAAAGGACAGGTATCTTTTGCATAATATCAATATTTTTAATCATATAGGACTTTTTGGCCATCCGGTTTTGACGTCTCCTCATAGTTTTCAAAGTCTGGTTGAGTCTACTATCGGAGAGTGTCATGTGTTGTGTGATGAAGCTACTTCTCAGACAAGAGTTAGGAAAATAGTCCAGGTTAGTCTCGTGTTATCTATACTTCAACTTTGTTACATTTTTACAGCCACTTAGAACTGCTTTTCATGCTATTAACGCTTACTAGATACTGTCGTTTATAAGCAGGTTATTTATTTACAAGAATCAAATACGTAGAAAAAACCTTATAATATAGTGAGATTGTGCTATGTCAACTCATTTTTCTCTAAACCACTTACACGGTTTCTCGCATATTACATGGATCTGGATGTTTAAACATGCATAAAGCGCTCTAACTTCATCGGTTGATAAAAAAACCGTAGATTCAGCGAACGACTGATTACCTTCAAATAGTACTCATGTGTAAAATCACTGCTCCCTCTATGGCTTCAATATATATGAGGTATAGTTAGTAGGAATCTGTTGAGAAAAACATAGAATCTGCGCTTGTATGTGTATTCACTAGCCACATTTCTCACTTTTAAAGTAATGAAAAATGACCTGTTCATTATACTCCTTGCTTGATAAGAAGTCAGATATTTCGTTTGGTTCGTGGATAGTGCGACCAACAAATTCCCCAGTCACTAGCCTTTACAGGCTAACAAAACTTAAGAAAAATGATGTTAAGCATGTTCAGACACTTGATTCCTCAAAGTTAAATTGCCTGATATTCCCGATCAATCATGAACCAACATTTTTCAAGGAAAACGTAATGATTACATTTATTACACAGTTCGAAGCTGTTTCAGTATTTGGGGACATAACTTTTGTTATCGTCTTATAATTTTGTAGAAACAAACGTTTGTATGGGAGACTTGTCGATGACTTACGTAATGAAAAGTTTCGGATCGACGATATCCTCGAATATTTCAAGAAGTCAGATCCATCACTCAGATTTATAGTGGAGCAGGAATGTGAGTGAAAACTTCCATCCTTGATGTCCTATTTACCAAAAGAAATGGTGGATCACTAAAAACATCTATGTACAATAAACCTTGGAACGGAAAATTGATATATTTTCACTCTTAGTTCTCAATAATTAGGAAATGAGGTCTCGGTAACTGCCTATGCTCACGATATCGTAAAATTTCTTCACCAGACCATCTAAAGAATGAAATTTCCAGTTCATAATCTGCTTTTCTAGAGAATGGGTATTCGTCAAGATATATGGAGAGAAATCCGAAGATACAGCCTTTACAAATCAAGTCTACTGGTCAAAAAGTTACTGTTTATAAACCTGATAAAGTATTGTTGATGATATACTAAAAGACCACCTGCAGAGTAAACGACATAAAAAGACATTTAACGCGTCAAATTTTCATATAAACTGCTATGATTATTCTCTTATGTGTCCGTTTGTGAAAGAAAAGTTACCAAGGCTGACTAACTGAATGTTCGTATACCAGTTCACCTGCTCATGTAGATCTAGGTATGTAGGTCGTTCATCAAGGCCGTTTCTTTGCATTTGGAAACATTGGACATTCGTTTTGTCCCCGTATAGTATTCTTCAGAAACACGTGCCAACGGCCCCACAACTTGGAACCTCAGTTTAGCCAATTAAGCGTTTAAGCTCTAGACCACTCAGCGGTCAGCATTAAGGTGACAACTATTTGCTTGCGGTGGTTCTTCTTGTGGCCCAGAACATCATGACATGTTGAAGTGATTACCTCTTTGATCGCTTTCCAGTTGCTCTCCATAGTAGTTCCCTCTCCATTGAGTAGATCATGAAAGGCCTGGAACTTATTGCTGAGGATTATCTTGAATTTGTTGAGTTTGTCAGTATCCCGAAGAAAAGCCGTACTAAACTTTTGTGATGTTGTCCACTCCGTTTTCCAGTGCTTCTGAAGTTTCAATTTCATCTTGGCGACCAGCAAGTGATGATCTGATGCTATATCAGCTCCTCCCCTGGTTCTCACATCCTCCATCGTCCTCCCGAACTTTTTGTTGATGCAGATGTGGTCGATTTGGTTTTGCGTAGTGTGGTCCGGTGAAGTCCATGTGGTTTTGTGAATGCGTTTATGTGGGAATATGGTGCCGCCTATGACCAGTTTATTGAAGGCACATAGGTTTGCAAATCTCTCACCATTTTCGTTCCTTTCTTCCAGTCCGTGTCGTCCCATGATGTCTTCATATCCAGTGTTGTCCGTTCCAACCTTGGCATTGAAATCTCCCATCAGAATGGTCAGGTCCTTTGTTGGACACTTCTCGATGATTGACTGCAGCCTATTGTAGAATTGATCTTTAGCGTCTTCATTGTAGTCGTTGGTAGGCGCATATCATTGGATGATGTTCATTGTAATGCCCTCTTTCTTTGTTTTGAAGGAGGCTTTGATGATCCTTGGTCCACGAGATTCCCATCCTATAAGTGCATTTTGTGCTTGTTTGGACAGCATCAATGCAACTCCTTGTGTATGTGGGGCATTTTCTTTTTCATGGTCGGAGTATGACAGAAGCTCCCCTGAAGCTATTCGTTGTTGTCCAATTTGCGTCCAATGTGTTTCACTGATCCTAAGCACCTCTAGGTTGTATCTCCTCGTTTCTGCAGCAATTCGGAAGACTCTCCCAGTCTCCCATATTGTACGATCATTCCATGTACCTAAGTAAATGGTTGCTCTGGTTGTCAGAAGGGGCATCGGCCTCGTGACTCCCGGAGGAACTCGGCTTTTATCATGAGGCGTCATAACTCTTCTAAATGAAGACCTTCTGATTCCCAGGACAGAGTTTAAATGCTTTGAACAGTTTTTTCTGGTTGGCGTTTTTAGCGAGTTATTTTTTTACGGGATGGAGCCGCTAACCCCATGTCCGACCCTCCTTCTTAATCCGGACTTGGGACCGGCAGTAGCCCCCGGAGGGACTCCAGGCGGAGTTCATTGTTCAATAACAGTACCTTTAAAACACTTAATTGCATGTATAAGATGTTCAAGACGAATAGTTAAGTGTAGTAACCATCGCTCTGTTCAACTCTTTTTGTTCAATACATTAAACAACACTCAGGGTAAAATATTTTAACAAGGTTTCTCTATTCTCCCAGCAAATATCTATGCACGTAATAAAAATTAAAAAGTCACTAGAAATATTTACAATACTGATCATCAAATGCTTATTTCTATCCACTAAGGTTTCTGATTGGTTTTAATTTTACGACGTTTTCATTACATAGTGTAGGCTAAATAAGGGATTACAAAGCTTTTACATTTCTTTTTACGAGTATGGATTCTTATTTGATTATGTATCCTGTCATACAATAGACAACATTGTACATGTAACTGATGGTTTTTATTTGTTAAAATATTGTTCGCAAGGTTTCTAATGACTATTTGTAATCATAATGTAATCAAAAGATACGATAATAGCTCTCCTAGCAGCTTTCAAGGTTTTACACAACTTACAATCATTTCTCAAAAGTCCTGGAAAAACTAAAGGACAATGTAAGGGATTAGATACTAAGCAAAAGCAAATGTCAATTCATGGCGAAATGGTCTCATCACTTAATAAATTTGACGAAAACCACTTGTTGGTGTTGTCAAAAGTACGGGATAAGTTAGAGAATCCCAAAGGAAGACCGAAATAAATAACATTTGACATAATTTTTATAACGCTTTCGTCAAAAATATAGTAGTTGTCACTCGGGCTATGTTTAGGTACTTTCCGTGTCAAATAGCAAATCTAACATCCAAACATTTGGAGATGATGTCTGATTGTGTGATGATCTTCAGGTCATACTTACTTACGCCTGTTACCCTTCATGGAGGAACGTGGGTTGCCCACCAGCGTTCTTCAACAAACTCTGTCCTGGTCAGTTGTTTCCAGTTGCCGTTCATTCTTTTTATATCTGCTTCCAATTCTTGACTCAGTGTGTTCTTTGGTCTTTCTCTTTTCCGTCTCCAAATTTCTTCTTCTCGTTAGCGTTTTTCTAGAAAGGTTATTTTCTACGGGGTAGGGTTACTGACTTCATGTCCAACCCTCCTCCTTTGTGTGGGATTGGGACCGACAGTAACCTAGAAGAACTACAGGCGGAGTTCTCAGGCCATACAGTCCACACTTAATCAGTTTCTAACCAGTGTCCATAGGTATGGCACCTTCCGGGTGCAAAGCACCTTTAAAAGACTCTCAAGAGCCTGTTCATGCATTCGCTCTTGGTAGTGAGCAGTTTGAAGTGATCGAGTTTGTGTGTCTGGGTAGTTGTATAAGGGCTGTTGGTGGAGTGAGTGATTAAATCAATTTACTTACAGTGAAAGTTAGAGTGGCTTATGCCAATTTAGGCCATCTGTGGTGCCTTCTTGATGTTAGTCAGGCTGTAAAAGTTTGGTGAAAACAGATTTACTATGTGTTTTTTAAACCTGACCTTTCCGAGTTAATGGTGTCAAGCGAATCTCTGAGTTTGATTTTCGTTGTCTCAGAAGGATTGCTGACATTCAGTCATAGCACGTTGTTGGTAATCCGAAGATCCAGCAACGTGAGTTCGATTTCAGTGTCAATAATTCAGCTGGTGTCATGATCCTGGAATACCAACTTTGGTGTCTTGGGCATGTAACTAGGAAGCCAGTAACAGTCCTTCTGTAGTTTTCTTCTCATAAATGTGAGAGGAATTTCCTTAACTCAAAGAATTCTTTCTGTTTGTATTTTATCAACTAAACTTTCTACCACAACTAACTACTTGCATTCACTTATTTTTATTCATTCATTGTCTCCGGCTAAGAGACTAAGCATTATGTTATAATTTGAAACAACTATAGCACTCAAAATACTCATTGGAAGTTTGTGAGTAAACTTATACGGATTATTATGGTCCTTTAATGAAAACTGGAGTATAAGTAATTGCTCCCCCTTTCTTTAGAAGAATTTACATGGTCGAGATATTCACTGCATTTATTGAATCACATCAAACCCTGATGTCTGTTGTTAATCGAAATAGAATAAAATAGAGAGGATTTTTGAACATAAACACTAAAAAACGACACTAATTTCCAAAGTTCATATGTATATGTTCTTCATTATATTTTCAACCTTAAACAGATATTGATTATTTATTTAGTTCTTGCACTTTTCTGACCTTTTCGTTCAAATAAATGTTTTCTGCTCTTGTGAAATTCCTCTTCCATACTATCTCAAATTGTCGTTAATTAGGTTAATCAATTCTTTGTTTTATGTTAATTGACCAATGCCTAGGTGTATCAGACATTGTTCGATTCAAGCCTCTAAGTACATACTTCACCGTATTTTTCCTGTGTTTGCGTCTATTTGAATATTATTTTCCTAATTAGCCAAAAAGATTCACATGTGCAGTGTAGTGAACGAAAACCTTGGGGAAAACCAGTCTATGGTTTAATTCAAAATTACAGAGTGCCTTCGTAAAATATAAAAAGCATACATTAAATACATCATTTTCACATCTTCCATCAGTTGTCCTTTACGTATTTCACGATTCTTTCAATTCCGTTGTCACTCCAATTGCTTTCTGTTACCCTTCCTGTTCTCTTCAAATTAATCTTTTAGCAGGCGTTCTACTTCCGATTGCCGCTACATACTACTTATATCTGTCAGCAGAAGTAGGATGCGCCACAAGTATACTATTATACCCCACTCATTCATGTATTACTATTGCTAGACCTTATTTCAATACTTTAACTTAATTCATCTATTTATCACAGATATTAGACGATCTATCCGATACATTGTGTCGAGTTGCTGATTTATCTGATTGTATACGAATGCTTCATCCAGATCAAGCATATCGCTATTCTGCACTGAAAGCATGTCAGTCAATTGGTCAACTTGTTGAAGAATTGAATACTAATTCAAACTTATATAATGCCTCTGTTCGTGCAAGTAGTTCATCTCAAGTGGATAAATTAATTCCAGATACACATATGGATAATGTTGATAGGCGTGTACTCGATTTATTTGTAGCTGATTTTGAACTATCTGGTGTACAACTACAGGATCCCTGTCGACACGAACAGTTTGTGCATGCTGCTTCATTTGCCTTAAATTGTGGTGCTAAATTTATTGAAGTAAGCGATATATTTGTTTCTTGACTGAATATTTTTTTCAGAGAGAGAGGATTGAGTTAATTCTGAAATTATTAACTTTGCCGACTCTCTTGGTCTTTGCACCTATATTCACAGCGATTACTTTTTTAGAAACAAAAATACTTCCTACCACTTATGAACTTGGATTCGATATTTTTTCAAGTTTAATGTAAATGTTAGATAAAACGTATAGAATACAAAAGTTGATTAACTATCTACTATTACCCAGATATTTCACGTTTATCTAGCTGAAGATAGTTCATAATTCTCTTTGTACCATAAAATATATATCCCTTAAAAATAAACTGCCGTACTTATTAATAGTGCTTTACTGAAATTGTTGTCAATACTACCATGATTATTAATTTTCATTGTAATGTTGTAGCCAATTTATTCAGGTATTCCACCTGTGAGTTACAGTTTTTAAAATTGATTCGCTTACTGAGTAGCACTCATTGGTCAGTATGCTTGTTCTGACTTATGGCCCTGTCTAATATCACGTGACAAACCACCACTCAGAGTATCGATTTCTGTGACCTTGTCCCTGAGCTAACCGACGTCACGTCAATCAGCACTAGTAACCTTGAGTCAACTTCAAACCCTTATTGGTCCTCAATACAGTAGCGTTCCTCCTTGCTCTCCTCCTTAAGAACACAACAATCAGCCTCCTCTATACGAACAATATATTTCGAGCATATGTAGATTATATTCAGCGATACCCAACCACATAGCACCATAAAATGGGAAATGACAATTATACAAGATCAAGTCAAAAGTGTCTGTGATTAAGGGAGACTGTAGATGTTAGCGGGTTAAATATTATACTTGCGTTGTTCCTTTGTACGATTGAAACTTGGATTAATTTTGATTTGGTTATTTATTCTCTGAACAAGTGGCTTACACTGAGTCACGAAACGTCAGAAAATTTAATTTTTCTACTCATTGAGATATTACAAATATCTTAATTTATTTATAACAATCTACCCAATGCTCAGTTTATTCGAAATTATCAAGTCAAACCTTGGTAATTATGCCTACAAATTCGTATAATAATAGTTAATGGGTCAAATAAAAGCTTATGATGAAAGGATATATTTATCTATATAATAGTCTATAAATAATTCCTGGAAGTTACCATTCACCTAGTCTTCTTGAGATATAACACTGCTGGTCAAAGTTCGTAGTGCAGCACATAAAACTGGACGTAGTTGTTGAGATATATATTTTTATGATAGCTGAATGACTGTTATAATTCCTAATACTTTTATCAAAAACGTTTGTGGTTAGACAGTTTTTCTAGTTTTATGTTATACGAATTAGTAGTTTTATGAGATATTCTCCTGATATTTAATCCTTTAGAAACACTTAGAAGCGTTATTGGCGTATCGCGGATCCACCGAGTGAGTTTTTCTGAGGTTTGGTTAACAATGATCGGCAAAGAAAAACTCAAATTCGTAAATGAGACTGTAGACTTTTATTGACTGAAGTGGTTAGGACATGGGTTTCGGATGTTTAACTACTCCGTACCTTGACATCAAATGTTTCTCTTACATGGGAGTATATGATAAATAGTTAGGAGTGGCCCAATTAAAGCATATCCTAGGTCTATGAAGTCATTGACTGTCGGTATGAACCATGTCGTGAGATAAATTATTCCTCGTTGTAACCTACAGAATACCCGTTAGCATCGGTTTGCGGCGTAGGTGATAGTGCGAAATCATTCGGAGTAGCAAAAGGGTATTCATGCTGAATGTTTTAGATTTCCGGTTAATTATTATTCATACGTTCCTATTTTCCGATTGTATTTGTACTCCTTATTTTTAGATTTTGAGTACTTTCGATATTATTTCTATCCTATCCTCATCTTGTTCATTTCCTCTCGCTTTGAATCAATGTACACTTGTACCAAGTGCATTGTCGATAGAGGCTGACTGACTGAGTATTAATTGAAGTGTTTTTTATTTATCATTTGATTGATATTCAGGGCTGAATTGATGTCCCCGCTAGCTTATGATTTCTTTAAATGGATGACTTGATATTGATTGCATTTAAAGTTGTTTATTTTATATATTTGTTTAAACACACAAACATTGGTACAAAGAAGCACCAAATATATATGCGCCACAGAAATCATTCGATTTGTGTGAGGTCTGTGATACTGCTCGGGTGCCCAGACCGAAGCAGGTAATTTTCTTAGGGGGCCACACCCCGAGCCTTTGACCTAAAGGTCTGATCCACAAAACAGTGGAACAACATAAGGAGATGCAGTCCCATAGTAAACGGTGATCAACAATAGGTTCATACGCCATTTGTTTCCTTAGGACCCTAGAGCCCTATACCTCATTGGTTTGGAATTAGGGTTTTTCAACTTCCCTAGGTAGATCCTCCATATCCACGGAGCCGGTTAAAGTGCCGGACATTTGCTTTTCGTTCTCTCAATTTCGTAGACAACAACCCCACTATGAGAAGGCAGTGAGTAGGACTTCCCTGGTAGTGGCTGTATACGCGTGGCCATGTGAGAGCAGACTGTCTTCACTCTCGTCCGTACCAGGGCATTTCAGATAATGAATGTCGATAAAATATAGTAGACACATTTCATTATTTTCCTGGCTAGTTAGCCCGATGTACCTGTATCGCATTGTTGGTATTCCTAGTACCCACCCCTTCATATGTGATATTATCCAGCGGATTATTGAGTCTCGATAGTCACCATTGTATAATCGGTATGGTAATATATATATATATATATATATATATATATATATATATATATATATATACCAAAGGTATTTTAACTATATTGAACTCGAACAAATTATTTGTCTGTGCAATCCTATAGTTAACTGGTGTTATGATAAACTTTTCAACTGGGGATGAATATACTAAGTTCGACTTCAATACGTTCAGTTCTAAAATTAGTTTACATGTATTATAGTGTAGTGTGATGTGGCATTATTACCCTTGAATTTATATATATTTCTTTGTATATATAATAAATATTTCTTTTGTATTTAAATTCTACTTGTCTCTTTTTCTTATTACATTATTACACGTTACCTAGGGTTGCCATAGTACAGTAACTTATCCATCGAAGTATTCAGCAAATAGTTATTCAAATTCAATTGAACTTGTTCATCCACTTAGTGATCATCCAGATCCTTCTATCCGTTTATCCACCTATTGTGCATATTATGCACCCATTCAAGGCCAAGAAAAGTGTCTAGAACAACTTTTGAGTGCACGACATGAAATGGCACAGTAAGTTTTTTATTAAAGTGATATAGTATTTGCAAATTCAAAAATTTCCATCTCTTCAAAATGTCACGGATTTTAACGGAATGAGAGAAGGGATGAAGAATTGTAAACAATCTCCGCAACCCTATACTGGTAATTGTGAGCAAATTTACTATAACTGGGTTAATATCAATTTTATTATTTAGATCAATCTAGATTTGGTCTATAGAGAACAACGTCTTGAATGTATTAACCTTCCTGTCCTCTGTTGAAATCCCTGTACACGGGAAAAGTAGAAATATACACTTTCTAATTATGTGACAATATTATAATTATAATTATTGTATAAAAAATTTCTTGCTACTGTCGATTGTATTTCTATCGGGTTTGAAATCTTATTGTTTTAAAGAGGGTTTGCTATCCACAGTAAATCGTTGTTACGTAGCATTTTTAATGGTACATTCCCCACAGATGATGACTCGTCTTTTTGAAAATTAAATTGAGGTACTTAAGTTTCATAACTTCGGTTATGTAATAAAACAACTGGCTTATTACAAAAGTTGGCTTTAATCATCTACTTTATGAAATGTGTTTTTGAAATACTGGTTAGAGAAATTAGACAAAAGCTATCACTAACAACGTTTTTTTTAATAAGATATTTGAATATCACATCTGCCAGATGTAAACGTTCTTCGCTGTCTATCGTTGAGAAAAACGGTGCTTTGTATTGACCACCGACCTAACTGAAATAATTCTATTTTTAGAAAAACTCCAATCCATTCAGTTGTTATACAGCATCAGCCTTAAAAATAATGAACAAAATAAGTGTAAAAATATTGCCTTTACATATCCATTTTGTATTTTTCTGTCTAATTTCACTTGTAAGTACTGATCATCTACACATTTAGACTTGTCTTTGAAAAATAATAACTGCTTAAACTTCCAGTTCGATTGTTCCACTATTTAATCACAAACGAATTACGTCAAAATGTTAGGTAGTTGAAGGTAGTCTGCAGGAAACCCTTTACCTAGGTTTCGCGCTAGTTTTCACTCGCAAGCGAGGCGTCTTTGTGATTTTCAGGGGACTGATACTTTCACGTGGATTCAAGACTGACTCATTCAGTTTCATAATCTGTAAAGCTACCAGTAAGCTATACAGGCCTCAACTGATCTGTAAAATCGAGATATTTAAAATTGATCTATCACTAATGACCAACTTCACGTTGATCTCTAATCCATTAGTGCTGACCCAATTTTGTTGATCAAATTGTAATGTGGGCATGAGTGTGACTCTATATTACGTTCATTGTGTTGATATGTCATGTGGTTGTAGGTAGTCAGCAAGAAACCCCGGACCTAGGTTTTGTGTTATCTGACACTCGTCAGCTAACCATACCTAAGATCGTCGGGCGACTGACAAACTGAATGATGTGTGGTAGTGAAAGTAAATCTAAGTGTGGACAAATGCGCACTCAACTTACTATCAAATATATGACTTCCGTTCATCTTATTGATTTCTACTCCGAACTCACTGAGAGTGATTGCTTGTAATTGTGTGGAATAAAGTATTGTCTAGCATTTACTTTGGTCCTCTGTTTCGGTCGTGAATCATGTGTCTGATATAACGCGATCTCTGGTCTGTGTGTAGCGAATCTTTCAAGTATCCAATCTAACGGTATTATAAATTTGAATACCCAGACCAACCTCATTATTTTATCATTTTATTCGTTTAGTATAACGCAGAAAGTGAGGAAACTATCTTAAGTCATCCTCTATATCACTAAAGGACTAAACTAGGATGATTTTGACCATTGCTTAGTTATCGACCAGTTGAGAATACAAGATCTCTTCTGTTATAGTCATTCTCAATGGTAATCATCTCAAGAATATCAAATTTCTGTAGCATTACGATTATTCATAAAATCATTAACTTATGTCCCTTCTTTTTACTGTTATTTCTTTTCAGAGCAGCTGGCTTTCAAAATTATGCTAAACGTGCCACGCTCTATAGTTTAGCTGAAACACCTGAGAATGTAGACGAATTCCTTCAGCATGTTTGTAAGAAACTTCTTCCTATTTCAACTGAAGTAGCAAGAAAACAGTTATTACCAATCATAAAAAACTCTTATCGGAAAACGAAGATGCACAACTTGCAAACGGATTGTAATGCAAATTTAATTTGGCCTAGTGATTTACCCTTTGCACTTGGTGTTAAACGCCAGGCATTATGTAGTCGTGTAAGTTATAATTCAAAATAACTTTTATTAGCAATATTAATCATTATTAATATTTCAACCAAAATGTATTGTTTGGTATGAATTCGTATTATTCCTAATTTAATCGTACATCTACAACAACTAAATATATTTTCTGTGCACATTTCAATTACAGTTAATCTTTCCTAGGAAAACTTACCATTGTTAATTAATCAACCGGTTTCAGGTCCATTTACTTGACTTTGAATCACACTAAGTGTGAGGGGTAGTGGTACTATCTTGTTGCCTGAACAGGAGTAGGTGGGAGTCCAATTCTACGAATTATTAGCTACAAGTCAAAAGCCTTAACTGCTAAAACACCACTCTACTTCTTAGCTTTAATTTTACATTTAAAGTAGTGACTTAGGGGTGAGAGTACTTGTCTTTCAATCGACATTTCCCAGGTCCCAGCCTTCCTGACTTAATTCTGCTTCGCAAACCTGCAAAGAAGTGGAATGTGTAATTATCGCTCATTTTGCAACCCTTTTGTCCTTAACTAACCTTTGTCAGCTAACAGGTAGCTTACGATCATGCCCGACCGTAGCTGTTACCTTGACGTGATGATCGGCCTTGCCTGTCGTGTTGACTCAGCTGAGCCATATTAGCTTGAACACATGTCCTTTTAGGTACTACCTTACCGGACAGATCGGTTGGAGGGCGGTAAGACTAACATCAGCAACTTATGGTCTGAGGGCTAGGTCGTACTGCTGACTGTAGATGGGTGTGATAGCAGCAAGGTATTTCTCTTGAACAGCCAGCATCTGCAGCGTTTCTGCCTTCTCACAACGGAAGAAAGGGATTGGAAAAGGTTGACTCTAAAAATTTCACACTCCATTTTACTCCACAGATTTCCGCCTTTGATGGTAAGGCCTTTTAAAATACGGAGCGAACTCATCAAAAACTTCTCATGAAAGGCCATGCGCGACGGACGTCAAGCAGTTGTCCCATGGGCTCTGCGGCCACGCTCCCAGGTCTCTAATACCACCACTGATTCAGTTTCTTTTTCTTGTCTCTCAAGAAGAAATATCCTTCTATATCGTGAGCAGTTGGGAAGTTCTAACCCACCTCGTATCTGTAACAACACTCAAGATCATCTCGTTGACGATCAGATCCCTCCTTCACCGCTCAATAATTCTATCACCACGAATAACCCTTCTCGTATATCTTTATCACCAAGTGGTACCAATGCTAATGATTCGAGTTCACGAAATGTTATTTGTGGTCTACTAAAACTACACTTTAACCTAAATGTTGGAGTTCTCAATATTTGAACCATGTGTCAGGCAGGACAACAGGCTTCATTAGATAGTACACCAGAATCTCGCGCCATCGACGTTTGCTGCGCCTCCGAAACGTGCATACAGGATCCAAATACAGCCATCTATTTGACCTCACCTTGTCAATATAAAGAACTGGCACTATCTACCCTTCGTGTATTTGGAGATCCCATTGCTACTTCCCTTCGTCTCACTAGTGTAGGTATGATGTTAAGTTCAAAAGCACAACAGGTTGTGCTTGACCGGATTCCAATAGAAAATCACGTATGCATTGTCCAGCTAAACAGTACAGTAAGAACTCAGAAAGACAACTGCCTTTGTGTCTTCGTTTTCTTTGTCTGCGCTCCCACTGATTGCAGCTCGGATGAAGTTACATATGAATTTTATGGGAAGCTACTCAACCTCCTTCAAAAAGCTGAACTCTTATGTAGTAATAGTGACAGGTGGTTTTAATGCTTAAGTTGGTAAACTAAACCAAACCGAAAGGCACTTAGGCAGATCTTACGGTGTTGCGGTACAACGAACTGAAAATGGTGACTGTCTGTTGCCACTATGCTCAGATAACCGTCTATTTCTGGCAAACACCAACTTTAATCATAAGAAGAAACATCGTATGACGTGACGACCTCCACGGTTGCTTCATCGACGGACTCAAATAGGTCACATTATCATTAGCCATCGTTGGAGGAGCTCAAGTGAAAACTGTCCCACATTCTGGAGCACATGTTTAGACTCGCATCATTCTCTAGTTTAAGGCACGTATTTGTCTATGTGTTACTATACTTAAAAAAGTCACAACCAGAAAACTCTTTAGAGTTCAACTTAATGATGAAAAAAAATAAGAATGTATTTCAGGAAGAACAAGAGAAGCAGTTAGTCAACCATAAAAGTAATATTCACCCTGAGGTATCTTGATATGATATCCGAAAAGCTGTGGAAACAGCAGTGATACGTACTAGTAACTTCAATCAAAACGTTAGGAAAAACCATTGGATTTCAGTGGCGCTTACTGAAGTGGTAGATGCTTGAGATCCCATCCCGTCTGACTCAAAGCACAAGGAGGAGCGAAGGCAGCTTAAACATGGACTGAAAAAAGTCTACTCAATGATCGTGAGCAGTGATGGGTAGCGAAAGCAAAAGAGACGGAAAAGGCAGCTGCAATATATAACAGTAGACAACTGTTCAGATTTATCAAGAAAACGGGTATTACAACAAACAATCAAATTCAAACCTTTTGAAATTCGCGGAAGCAATAGCAATCAAACGTTTAAAACCAAATCTTTGTACACAAAAAGAAACAGTAATAAATCTTTCTTTGCCCTGGTAACATTCACCCCACCCCTTTTATTTTATTTATTTTTATTACGTCATTTCAACTCATTCTGAATTTTATAATTACATCATTCATAACTGACCAATTTCAATTCATATCTCTCTTTATTAACATTAATCTATCTTCAGTTATTTCATTACATAATCGTCTAATGTGTTTTAATTCCATGATTTCTAATCACTATTTCAATTTTCTGGAACCTTCCCTCCCAAACTCTATATATTCGAAACAAAATTTTATGAGCTCATTAACTCGAACGAAATCTTTACCACATTATGTTACATATATTCATCCTTCATCGCCCTCTGTTGTATAAGTATGTCAATATCTATAATAACTTTGAATTTCAAATATTTTAGGTTGTAAGCAGCTGATGAGAACCTAACGAAATAAAATGAATTCATATTATTCTGCATCAATCTTTGTTCTTGCTCTATTTAACAAATCCTTTTGTTAGTGGGAATATCTCGGAAAAGGACCGGATTGTCATTCACCATCGATCCAGGTGGTGAGGCTGATGGCCAGAACACTTTAGAGAACCGAGTAGCTGATAGTCAGCCACACTTCAATTATCCACTTTCTCCAAGCAACCTGAATGGCAAACTGATATAAGTCCTTAGACTCTTAGTGAGGTTGAAAAGGCTATAAGTAATCCAAAGCGAGAGAGAGCAGCACGGTCTGATGAACTAAGCACTGAGATTTTTAAGGACGGTGGTCCAGTTTTAGCAGTTAGATTGACTAAAATCCTAGCTGAAATCTGGAAACTGGATGTAATCCCATCTGACTAGTCTCGGACGCTGATCATTACAGTCTATAAGAACAAAAATTCATTCTTCGTCTTCCCCCAGATCATAAGCTTTTGAATTCCTCAAAATTTTTTATTTCACTGGTTTATATTTTCTTAAATCTTATCTTTGATGCCTGATCTTTCCTACTACCAATAATACTGTTGCTACCTCTAGTACTCTGAGGTTTGCCCTAACAATTTCATTTCGAGTCGGCGTACATGTGTACCAGGTTTTATTTTACGACTGACTGACTAATGGTCATGTCATTTTGGTCAAATATTGTTTTGTAAATAAATAGTAACTTTAATTTCCTGATATTTATTCAAATTGTCAACCAGTTGGTTGATGGTTCTGTCCTTTGAAATCTATTGATTTGATAATATGAATCTCAGCTACATGTATAAATTCTCATTCCACCTATGCCTTAGTGTTATTCCTATATTTTATGACATCCGTTGCGTAATCGTATAACACCCATGCTACAACAGCTAATAACCATTTTGGATCTGAAAAATCGAATAGGAACTTAAAGTAGATTAACTCACACTTTTTCTCTTTTTTGTTGAGAGGTTATAACCTTTTATTTTATCATAATCCCTTGTATCTGTCTTTGTCGTTTACTGCAACACATACATAAGTAAGTTATTGATTCATATTTCCTCTACTTTTCTTGTTTTATAGCATTTGACAGATTATTTTTCATTGGGTGCATGTATGGAAGGTGTAAGTCAATTGGCCAATTGTCTATTTGGATTACGTCTAGAAGTTGTACCGGTACAACCTGGAGAAGTATGGCATCCATCTGTTATCAAAGTTCATGTCTATTCGACTAAGAATAATTCAACAGAACCAATTGGGATAGTCTATTGTGATCTGCTTGATCGTCCTGGTAAACCTGCCCAAGTAATTTTATTTCATTTTAAAATGTTTCTTATCAAGTATTAAAACCTTTTACTTTTATATCATTCGTAATCGTGTTTATTTCAGTTCTGACTTCGATTTACTACCATGGTTTGCTCCATGTTTTGATCATTACCTATGGGGAACAATTCAAGGAATAACAAACGATTCATAATTGATGTGTGGCTAGTAGAATTAAGATGTGTTTAGCTACTGAGTGTGGACAGACAGACACTGCTTACTGGCTATCAGTTATGTGATTTTCCTATTATTGAATTCTACTCTGGACTCACTGAATGTAGATTGTCCAAAATTGTGTTGAATAGAGTCTTGTCTAGTCTATACTCGGGTTCTTTACTCATGAACTTGGATCGTGTGTCTAGTATTACGTGATCAAGTCTGTGCTTAGCGTATGGTTCGTGTAATCAGTTTAGTGGTAATGTAACCTCGGTCACTGGCCCTATCATCGTATAGTAGCAGTATATCGCGGGATACAGAAAATATTTTTATTCTACCATTATGTCAATAATATATATGAATTAGACTGACTTGAATGTTTTAATGGTTCAAACAAGCGTTGGCACATGTCGAAAACATCCTGTGGAGTTATTTCCTCCATAAGTTACGTATACAAGACTGATGACAGCAAAAATAGAGCTGTGGAAATCAATAAAGAGAGGACAGCATCATTTTAATAATCCATCAAACAACAAAGAAGAGGGTCTCTCAAAAGCATTACCCAGAAACCTGTGATTATGACTTACTGATCTTCTACGTTTGAAAAGATTACGATATCACTTAAAACCGGCTGACGGAACGAAAGTCAGCAACACAACAACAGGTCAAGCTAAACTATTTCACTGTGCCCCAGCCCTGCTAACTGGAGGGAGAAGACCAGATTCAGCCGAAGGAAACATATATTCCACCAGCAGTCAGAGGCACGAACAAACAAGCACACAACTCATGCGTATATATATAGTACAAAAATGTCCTTGGAAAACATCACAAAATAGCGTACTAAAAGAGAAAACGAACTAATGACATTTAAGGTCCTCCTAAGTGGGAAATACAAATTAAAAGTAAAAGTGGGTGCTTTTGGCACGAAGATGAGAAATCCGAATTTCCAAAAATAAAATTACAAAAATGAGACGTTTACCACGTGATTTCTGGGGGATCTGGGATTCCTAACATGATCATTTTGTTACTTTGTAAAAGCCTGCTAACCGAGCAAATACATTCACGTCTACAACCTATAGGTTGTCTTTACCACTAGATATGAAACCAACCTTAGTGTTACTTGAGAAGTTGTCGGTCTCTGTGGCTGATCTTTCATTCTGCACATATACTTCATATACAAATAATTTGAACCTCTATAGCTGTCTTTTATTATCCAACGAGAGTTTCACTTTTACAAGCTTTTGATTGCCTCATGAATTCTAATTCTATCGGGAATTTTGCACCAAGAAAACCTTTGCTTAAAATCGTGGCAGTCTGACTATTTTTGGTAGATATAGGAGATACAATTGATGACGGCTATTATAGTTTTGATACAGAAATTCAAAATCACTGCTTTTATGGTTCCAAAAGTGGGAATTTTATTAGCCGTCTAAGACTGAGTTTTTATTTTGTGAAAGGTAAATGTGAGAGGATTAGAACGCCTCTCATAATCGTGACATATTATTCCAATAGGATCCATGATGCTCCCATCAAACGGTTTCGCCATTCGATAGAATCGTTTTAATTTGATTTTAAATCAAGCACCGAAATCTTTGCTGTCCTCCGTTCACAGTTATCTGGCTCAAAAGTAAAGTAGAAAAGATCTGATGTAAACTTTTTATGATAGCAACTATTTAACCGACAGCGTACTTTTGTTACATATTTAGAATATTAATATTAACAGTCCTATCCTGATTGTATCTTACACTTCTCTTTTTGTTTCTTCATTTATCAGGATTGTCATTACACTATACGTGGTGGTCGATGCCTAGATAATGGTTCTAGTAATCGATCATATCAATCTCCAATTATAACACTTCAATTGACGGTATCTCCGCCTGAATCGAATTCTAAACCACCACTTCTTAGTATAGGACAAGTTGAAAATTTATTTCATGAATGGGGACATGCATTACATTCTATGCTTGCACGTACACGATATCAGCATGTTACTGGGACACGGTAAGTATATATATATATCCTCTTTACAGATTATCTATATCTATCCATATTGTTAATGGATTATGCTGTTACTGAAATGAACATTGAAAAATCAATTGAGGTGGTCGGGACATGTGTTATATATACCCAACGGGGAATGTTGTCTGGTATAGGAGTAGACTGATAAAATACTAATAAGTAGCTAAACCAAAACATGACACCAATCCATAAAGTCAATGGTAATTGAACTGAGCTATTTTAATAGATGTAGACATTGTGGTTGAAGTTTGGGTGATTATTATAGCCAGTGGTTAGAGTCTTTGAATGAAATGACTCAAAATTATTCGCAGTGGTGCAGGCGCATTCATTTTTTATCTTCACTTATAACCTGAATGCCAAAATGTCTTTGTATTTCTTTTCCCATTATTATTGTTACTATTATTAATTCTAACATTCTAGGAATTTTATTTTAAAATAACTCACTGTGTTAATATCGTGTGGCAATTTGAACTAATGCACAAATGTGTCAAGTTCTACGTTGTATATAACTAACTGACATGTGTATTTTGTATTTCATTCAGAATTTTAAAACAATATATAAATAAATTCATTATGAGATAAACATTCAATAAGTAAACGAGAAGATAAACTATGTTACTACTGTTACAATTAGATATGAATTCATTTAGCAATTTTATACTATAGTTTAATCGTATTATTAGTCAACTTCAGAAATGTTTCATATTCAATAATTATACATTAAGACTACTGTACAATTTCAACTTTACTATTAATAATATTCTACATATAACTACATGGTATCCAATAATTGTACTAGTCAAGTGTTACACTATTTAATTGTCTAAATTTGACGATTAAACCTTAGATATTTTAGTCAGTTCTATAGATTAATAATATCTTTTCCTATTTGATAGAATTATTATCTGTCGTGATAGTGTTTAATAGTGGTTCTTATTCGAGATAGATGAATAAAATTTTGATTTGATCTGTTAGTTCACATAACTAAGATACTCTTAGCTTGACAATGCGATACTATCGTATTGATATGGAAATTCCGAAAATATTTAAACTAATAAATCGTTAGGGAAAATACTGACTACTTATCTGGTTTGGTTAGATTCTTAGAATCACTAAATCTAATGATTGTTTAGTGTAATTGATTGAACCGTGTTAAACGAAAGCATTTCATTCTATTGCTTTATCTTGTTTGAATTCATAGAATCTGGAAGGTAGTAATTTATTACCGTTGTTAACATGTTGACGTGTGAATAACAGTTGCTTATTTTCAAAGGTTTTCGTATTAGTATTCCATAGAAACAACTCTGTGTAAGCCTGCTTATACATGATAAAACTAAAAAAGAATATAAGTAGAGATCAACAGTGGCCAGCAGCGAAATTCAAGACGCGTGTTTCTTTCCATTTGGGACACTTCAACTATATGTGCCTGCATCCCAGAGTTGATGTTCACTCCGGAACTCGAGTCCAGTACCGTTCGCATATATCCACATATGCCAAAAAGAGACTGGTCAAATATAGTCCTAAACATCAATGGCAATATTCAAACAACCGATACAAGTGAATCTAAGAATGAATAGATTATAAAATTCGACCAATCAGCATTTAATTCTATGAATCATCATCAAACACAGATTATAATAAGAACACATCAATGGATTATAATACAATACGTTTGTGTTAAATTTTACAAATGAATCAGTAGGTAAACCCGAGATACTTTCAGATTGCTCGATAAATCCATGTTCTTTCCTTTTTACTACTTAAATGTACAACCGTTAACAACAATCCTTACTAATTATGTAATGCATCAAACATTACTATGTGCTAAGTTTTCCACAAAACTCATACACATGTAAATAAAATAATTCCTCGTTTTTCAACGGGTACATCATTTTCATATTTCGTGAGTAATTTTGTCAGTGATTCGGGAACAAATGAAAATAATAACAAATTTTCACTAAGATAAATATTTAATCAAAAAAGTAAGCGAACTTTATCATCCTGACAATCTGATTTCTTATTGAAATAATAATCGTAATATGCTAATTAATCAATAAATTATTCTACATTCATTGTTATTATTATTATTATATTAAAGGTGTAGTACTGATTTAGCTGAATTACCATCAACTTTATTTGAACACTTTGCATTAGATCCGCGTGTAGTATCAGAATATGCTCGACATTGGAAAACAGGTCAGAAACCAGATCCTAATGAAATAATTGCATTACAACAATTATCCGTTGGTTTAGGACTTGGTCAAAGTTTAGAAGTTAGTCAACAGGTATACACTTGTAATATATATTTATATATGGTATACTTGATTTGAATATTTTATGACCCACAACATCCGATTTACACATACAGATGATTTCGGTGTGCTTAGGCAAACGGGTTTGCAAGTAAGAAGATTGGGAAATGACTAATAGTAATCGGTAGTTATTGGAGTTCATAATCTTCAGAAAAAAACTACTTTAATTATGTTATACAATCCTCGCAGGATATTTCAAGTTCGAGTCAAGTCCTGAAGTTCCAGTGAGAAATAGTGGAGTTCAACCACGTTGAGAGTGAAACTGATATCGTCGGTGACATTGAATAATGGTTGAAAATGTTGATCATTGAATTCTGACTTACCGGTTTAGCGGTAACACGCTGATCCCAAGACATGAATATCCTGATTTTGGTTATAAATGTGTGTTGGTGATGGGTTTAACAACAAAGTGTTCAGTGCTTTTAACTTTCCAATGGTCCTTAAGTGGAGACCAATCTATGATGTAAACTGTTTCAAAAAGTTACCTTATCGTTGAATATGCGAATACAGCTAGTGACTGTATGAGTTATTTCTAAAATATACTCATATTATCAATACATATCCAGTGACTATAAATTTCACGACAGTAAATTAAGTAGAATTTGATGAACAGGTGATGTCTAATCTCTTATAGTATAAATTTTGTAGGACATAGCAGATATTACCAGATACCATTACATTAAGAAAGGAGTAAAGGTAGATAAGCGTGGATTAGTTTTAAGGGGAAATGAGGATGACAATTAAGTAGAAAACAGAGTTTATAAGTTGTAATACGTACAAACAAAAAATTACAGTAATCAGTGGGTGAGCACAAAATATAAAAACAATTCTTGTGTGTTATCTAAACAATGAGACTGTTCCTTTAAGGGTCTTTTCGAAATTCTGCGATCCCCTTTTTTCAAGTTGTTTACTAAATGAAGCGTAGAAAGATTAACATTTTATGACTAAGTCAGTCACTTTTTAGTAACAGTTGAATTTCTTTCATTTATACAATTCTTCAGGCTACCTATGCTATTCTGGATCAAGTTTTGCACTCAGGTCCTATTGAAAATACTTTACTGCCTTATGCAAAATCAACTCACGAATCAGATGGGTTATGGCCTGCATCCTCTAAATTATTATCAGATATTCAATGTAAAGTTGGACTATCTGATTGGTCTAGTTGTTCACCAGCTCATCTAGGCGCATGGCCTCATCGTTTTACTCATTTAGTCAATTACGGTGGACGCTATTATGCTTATTTGATGGCAAAAGCTGGAGCTAATCTTGTTTGGAGACGTCATTTTTCCAAAGATCCTTGGTGTTCCTCAAGTGGACAGGTAAATTTCTGTGAATTATTTAATTTGACAAGTTTCTACATCATTGTCGTATCATTTGACCAAACTAAGACTAATGAATGTGGCAGAATATTTTGAGTTCACCATATTTCGCGGTTTTATTACCAGCTACTGACGAACTCTAAACATAGTGGAACTAAGCATCACATCACACTTTTAGGAATAAACTGTTTACTGAATATTAGCAAGCAGTATAAATCAATACACAGAAAACAAGTTAGGTGAGGAGAGAATACGGACAGAAAATGTAAACGAACTTCACAGCATGTAAGGTGATTTTGAATGGTTAATACTATTACATTTGGAATGCGTAATTAGCCGATGAGAAATCGTATTATTCTATTACGTTCATTGTTCTTGCTTTAGTCAAATTTATAGATGGGAAAGATTGTATGAAATTTTTGTATCAGTTATAAATACATCTATTAATTTTTTGTCAAAAGTATATATTATATCACTGTAATTATATGCAATCGTCAGTTTTTTTTAAAACCTTTCAAAAGTATAAAAGTTAGGATATTACTCTATTTTCATATTGATTTGTCAACTAGTATCAATTAGTATCCGTTCGGTATTAGTTGTTCAGATAGAGGAGTGTAACTGAGGCACCTTTCTGAACCACATTTAAATCGCAATAAATTAAAGCTTTACAACCCTTAATACTATCCTGTTTAAGTTGATTTCGTATAAAGTGGTTTCTTTTCTGCTCTTTATTTTTTTCTGTCACATCACACTACTCATGTATGTTACCACCTATGATTTAGGAATCTGTAACTCATAAAAATTCTCAATTTTAATGCACTACATGTTTATGCGATATTTTAATCTATTTTCTTCATTCTCATAATATTTCGTTCTCCCCCCCTAGTTTGTTTATTTATTTAATCCTTTTTGTCTGTGTTCTTTGTTAAATGTTTGTTTATTCAGAACATCTTGTCTACTATAAATACATGGTTCTCAACTTATCTTCGCTACTAATTTGTATCTGTTTGACAAAGTTGTACTCTCTTTTTAATTTATAGCATTTATTATAATATGATTCTTGTTGATTGACATTTCGACACGTTATCGATGCCTGTATACCTTTCAATACGAGGTTGTTAAACTGGACTGTTCATTTTGTATTCTTTAGTACTATATCGTATCTCATATAGACTTTCGTTTCACATGTCACTTGATGGTTGGTTTGAAATAGTTGAATGTATTTTACACTGAGTCTTAACTCATTATAATAAATAAAATGTGTGTACGATTAGTTGTCGTAACACATTCTATGATACATCTCTTTTATACCATTAGTTTTTGTTGTAATGACTGTGATGTGTACTTTTTAAAAGTGTTAATTTGTTTACAGTATAAAATACACTTAAATAGTTATTATCCTGAACATTGGCTTTTTCCCTTTCCTTGTTTGTATACTAATTTGAATTGAGTGTAATAGTCTGCCAATCCAATTACATTTCAACCACTGGGATAACTTTATATATGAGTCTTAGATGTTGATAAAAAAGGGAATTGTTCCACATCGTTATCTTCATCATTACTGGTATATTTAAAGGTTTTTGTTAAACTGGATCTGCATCATAACAGCATAACTCAGAACATCGATTCCCTCAAGACTTCAAGTATATCTTGCTGATGAATTCCAAAAGATATGAAACTGAGATCCAGTATTTTCTACTGACTACCTCCAACCACTTAACATCTCAACACAATGCTTCGCTCACGATTCACTTATATTAGAACCACATTACAAATTCGTCACTATAAAGGAATAAACAGACATGACATTGGTGAACACATAGTGGTCAGTCAGTTATAGCTATACATCCATTTGTATTTCTAGATAACATAGTTAATTGAAAATTATTCCTAGCTGGTTAATGTCGCATAACTAAATAAGTAGTTGCGGTGAAATTTTACACTTCTCATTTCGAGTTGAGGATACTTCAAGTGTTTTTTTAGATTTATTTATCTCCATTCACTGGACATATCTAATTAAACGTTAAAAAACTATTCAGCTTGGTATAGTGTTGTTTAGGACCATGTAGGTCTCAGTTTATAAATCACTTTTGATTAATGTTATAAGTAGATTTTAACTACTTATATAATCCAGTAGTATGTTTTACGATAAAATCTGTCTGTTCAATCCCATTATATTAATAACTTGTATTCTTTTTTTACATTTTTCATCCTAGCTTTATATGGAAAAATTATTATGTCATGGTGGCGAGTATCCTCCAGCTATTCTACTTTCGGACCTTTTGAATTGTGATGATGAGATCAACAGTCAAAATGTACTATTATCTCCTAAAAAGTTAGCTGAAGGTTTAACTGATCAATTGGAAGAAATGGAAATGGCTTCAACTTCTTTACTGAACCGTATTGAATCACCGAGTTTATTCAGACCAGAATCATACCATTAGTAGCAAGAGAGAAGAGAACTTAATAATTGTGACATATCTCGTTGGTGATGATACCTTGTAAATACATCAGCTAATTATTTTCCTAAATGCTCATATATTAATTTGTTGGTTTTGTCAAATAATTTAGAACATGCAATAAATAGAAGCTTTCGTTTTTGATATAACATAATTCACTTCTCGCACCTTGGCCATATCATCTCGAACAATGAACGTGAATAACTGTGCTCTTTCCTGTGACACTCACTTACTTAAGCCTGTTACCCCTCTTGGAGCATAGGCGGTCGACTCCTAATCTCCAATCTACTCTGTCCTAGGCTCTTTTTTCCATTTGTTGCCAAGTTCTATTCTTCCTTGTAATGTCTGCTTCCAATTACAGACACAGTGTTTTTTTATTTGCTCCTTTCTTTTGATGTGTGAATTCCACGTTGGAGCATGTTTTTTGATACAGTTTGATGATTTCCTCAGTATGTCTTATTTCACCTTCAGGATCTTTTCCTGATCTACTCTTCAACGAGAAGCTGATTTGTTCTCTGTCACAGTAGATTGTTGCTGATGGTGACTTGCCAACGGATATTGAGTGTCTTGCGTAGACAACTACTTATAAATGCCTATACCTTTTTGATGATGATGGTTGTAGTAGTCCTGAAAGTTTCAGCTCTGTACAACCAAACTGTCTTGATGTTTGTATTGAAGATTCTGAATTTGTTGTTGCTTGACAGCTGTTTTGAGTTTCAGATGTTCTTTAATTGTAAGAATCCTGCCCTTCTTCAATCCATGTCTTTTTTGTGCTCTATTGATTTGAGTTCAACTTGGAATATACATCCCGGCTACCGTCGTGTATAATTATCGACTTGATTCTCCTTAAAAAATAACGGAATAAATACGAAAATGAATATTGGATACGTATATTTCATGCACTAGTTGGTCCAGACAGACAATCAGAAAAACAAAGCGGAGAAGGCAACCGTGCCAATTCCATTTGATCAAGCTTGACTCTATTTATAACTAGAAAGAAATAAGCAATACTCACACACGCTCATATAAAAACAGTCAGGGTTAGTAAACGAATAATTTACAAAGTCAAAATGTGACTCAGGATGGATAAATAAACTGGTCTCTCCCGAAGCTAGAATAACCTATGTGGGGTTGATGCAGCACCAGACACTACACTTTCACATCTGCATCAGATCCCCATCGTTTATCAGTCATATATCCTAGTTAAGCACGTAAACGTTTCCACCACTTCTAGAGCATAAAATGTTATTGGGTTGGTGCTCTGTGTTATATTTTAGGGTCTTGCTTTTTCCCTTGTGTATGTTGAGGCCTACTACTGCTACGCTGGCTATTTTCACCTGTATTTGTTGGTGAGTATTGGATAAAAGAGTTAGGTCATCTGCGAAGTCCGAATCGTCTAGTTGCATTCAAGCTATCCATTGTATTCCGTGCTTTCCCTCAGATGCAAAGGTCTTCATAATCCAATCAACCACCAGAAGAAAGAGAAAGGGTGAAAGTAAGCGGCCATGTCTGACACTGGTCTTCACTTGAAGTGCATATGTCAGCTGTATTCCATGCACGACTTTGCAATGTAGTCCGTCGTATGAATCCCGGATGGTGTTGGTGATTTTCTCACGTACACCATGGTGTCGAAGAAGATTTCATACGGTCCTTCTATCCACACTCAAAAGCTTTCTCGTAGTCAAGGAAGTTGATGTATAGTGACGAGTTCCATCCAAATGGTTTTTCAACGATGATCCGTAGTTTGGCGATTTGGTCTGTTTACTACCGATCCTTACGGAATCCGGTCTGTTGATCTGGAAGTTGAACATCTGCTGAACCCTTCATTTGGTTCAGCAACACTGTCGAAAACGTTTCCTGTTACTGACAGTAGTGTGATTCCTCTGTAATTCCCACATTTGCTCAGATCTCCTTTCTTTGGAATCTTGATGAGGTATCTTTCTTTCTAGTCCATCGGTGGCATTTGTTCTTTCTCCCGAATCTTCCTGAATAAACTGTGAAGCATGCTTGCAGTTACTTCTACGTCTGACTTCAGAGCTTCAGGTGGTATATTACCCGGTCCTACTGCTTTCCAACTATTGATTCGTCTGATGACCATCCTGATTTCGTCGGTCGTTGGTGGAGTGACATCTATAGGGCAGTATTTGTGTGCTACTTCGATGTACGGTGGACTCAATGGATCTGACCTATTCAAGAGGTCTTCAAAGTGTTCTACCCATCTGTTACTCTGTTTTTAAATCTCAGTGATTATCTCACCTTTATCCTTGACTAGTCTATCTGGTTTGCTATGTTTCCCTGCTAGTTTCTTCGTTATGTCATATAGCTGTCTCACATTTCCTTCTCTTGAAGCATTTTCCACTATCGTTGCTAGCTGTTCCACGAATTTCCGCTTGATGACTCTAATGTTGTTCTCTACTTGCTTGTTTACTTCTGTGTATTCGGCTTGTGCCTTGACTTTCTCTGCACTTGTTCGGCTGTTGTTAATTGTTATCTTCTTGTTCTTCCTTTCTTGAATCTTGTTCATGGTTCCCATAGAGATCCATTTCTTATGATTATGCTTGTTGTAACCCATCACCTCCTGAAACGTCGTAGTTAGTGGTTTTTTGATCCATTTCCAGTTGTACTCCATCGTAGTTTCTTCTTCTTTGATCAGATCTTGTAAGGCTTGGAACCTGTTGTTAAGAGCTATCTTGAATTGGTTGATTTTGTCAGTATGTCGAAAGAACGCTGTATTTAACCTTTGTCATGCCGTTTCTCCAGTTAATCACTGCTTCTCTAGATTTAGTTTTTTTACTAATGTAAATGTGATCGATCTGGTCCTCTGTAGTGTGGTTCTGTGAAGCTGATTTAGCTTTGTATGGGGTCGTAGATGAATACTGCTGAGAGTCCTGCGCTAGGACCGAAGGGATTGCCCAGTGCTTCCAGATTCTCGATGGTGGTCGAACACTAATCATTTCACGATCCCAATAAAAGTGAATAATTGTTATTTAATGTTGTTAAGCTGTGATCTGAAGATTTGTCTTACAACCAGTTAGTTACAATTTTAAAAATCGTTTCACCTATTACTTGATTACCTGAACAAGGATGTTATCTTCAATAAGATTGTTGAGGACACCTCGGTTAAGAGACCTAGCTATCTATTCATAAAACTTGGCATTTTGTTAAAAGTAAAGGGATACCTCCAACATTTTATTAACATAATGTGAACATTTACAAAGGTATGATATTAAAATGAATTTGTATATAAAAGGTTTGAATATGGAGACTGATCATTTAGTCTTTAGTATCAATAATGGTGAGATTCAAACTGTTTTATGTAACTTCATATCTGTTGAACAAGCTTATGGTTAACTGAACTCAGAAGCTTAATATAGAGTGGTTTTTCGTTTAGAACATTTTAGGTTATAAAGTTCGAGTCTCAATGTGAAAAACGACAAGTTGGGCAAAATCAGATATATCTCATACCTATACTCATATATGCCATTTCAGTAGCACATAATATTGATCATGATGGAAGTTATGGCTTACTGTGATTCTAATTATCAGTAGACGTTAGCGAGATACTATGACTAAGTACCCAAATAGCATTAGTTCTCTTCGTAACTATATAAGTGACTAAACAACTAGCGTTAAAAAAAGATTCCGTCTAATATTATTGTATATTATATCCCCTGTTTTCTATACTACAAATGCATTCCACACAATCTAATAACCACAGGTATGAATAAACGGTTAAAGTTTTTGCAAATCTATTCTTTCGAATGGCTGTATTATGAGTACTCCGTTATTAAAATTAATTTTAAGAATTGGAATTTGATAACTGTTCTTAACGTGAAAGACTCAACTAATCAAACAGCATTTCAAATAATTTGCTATCAACTATATGATTATTTTTGTAGATTATGGAACGAACACTTAGACACAGATTAAGTCTTTTTCCTCAGGAAATGGATAACAGTTAATAATCTCGTATTACTTAATTGTAGGATAGACACGCTCGAGTACTCACTGCTACATAAAGCCTGGAAATGACTATATATAACTCAAACTACTTGTTAATAACAAGTAGTATTCCGTCGAACAAAAAAATGGAGTGCAAAGGAATCTCGTCACGAATGTTCACGTTTTGTATTTTATTGAAGAGCTAATGTTAAGATATTGCTCAGTTTTAAAGTAATTTTCATCACGAAATAACTCGGGCTGGAGATTCATTGAAATAGTTAAGAAACTCTAGGTAACTGTTTCTATTTGTTGAGATTGTTTAGTACAAATATTTGATAACAATTAGGACCAAACCCATGAACTTAGAAGTACTCTCCTCAATGATCCCTCGTCTAAAAAACTTTTTATCTTATTAGTTATTTGTTTAAGTAGGATTTAGTCGATATACTCAACATAAATCAAATTTTCGGGAAAAAGTGAGTCCAAACCAGTTCATCTTAAAGATTACTGCTCTGATTCATGTGTTGATAAAGCTATGATACCAAGTTACATATCTGTTTTGTCATAACTGAGGGGTATGCTGTTAGTGGCTTTTCAAAGTGATAAGATTGTGCTGGTCAGGTTTATCATTCTAAATATTCTTATCATATTACACTTCTCATTTAATAGATGATGACTATAAATTACGAGCACAGTTTGGTTCTAATAAGTACCAATCCACTAATTTAGGGGGTATCAATTCAAGTTAAAGATTTTATTGAAAATATTAAGTTGCTAGTTGTTACATTTCTCTTATTTAATACGGTTATTAATTAATTAAAATGATGAAAATCACTTTCAATAACTATAATGCTTTACTGAATGAGTAACTCTATATCCATCTTTTACGAACGCGGTTACTGAAGACAAGACAACTTTTTCGTACAACAGAAATACGGATAAATATAGTTAGTTGGTCACTATAAAGAAAATAAAAATGTGACATACTTTTCCTCAATAAAACGAATAAATAGAAACTTGGTGATAATATGAAAATACTACGGAATTAAATTATATTTAATAACCGCTTTTTGTAGTCAGATTATTACATCACTGAACCAACAATCTGTAAATTCACAGATATTTGGTCTGATTCCAAATGTATCGTTAAGCTTAGGTCGTTTATTTTATATAAATTCCCTTTGGTATAAATATATATATCATTACTAAATATTTGATGACGTAATCAAATGTCATCAATCCAAATTCAGTTCTAACTTTATCTTGATTACTGACTTCCCAGTTTGACAAGTACATTATGCTCTCCCATCTCTCTACCTTCTTGTAGTCATGTCTATTATTTTCATTTAAATTTCAAGCCGATCCTATTTTGATTGGTTTATTTTATTTGATGTGCGATTGGTTAAAAATAGCTTTTGCGTTAATTAGGCCAATAAAAACAAAGGAAAATGGGTGAAGATGAATATATCTAGCGGTGATTCATTTAATTTTC